TTGACGCTTCTTGTTGCCAAAACGTTTTGAATGTACATCTAGACATACACATCTAAACTGGTGCTACCACATTAATCATTTAACTTATAAACTGCTGCCATATTAATTAGAAAAACTCGGCCAAATGCAGTTAACATGCGGCAATGACGTAGTGTGTTTACCCTTATATAACGCTAATAAAAGACCACGCAGCAATAGAAAGGGGAACGTGCTTAACAGAACACCAGAAAAAGTCCATCACTAAATTTCAAAAACTGTTTAAAAAAACATGACTTTTAAATAAATCTATTCCTACACCAGGCAAAAAATATTTCAAGGAAAGCGATGTACTGCCTTTTCAGTATAAAGTGAAGTGCCCGATTAGTGACTAAATAAACAAATAATTACGTGATATATTTTAACGCATACAAGTTAAATGAAAAAACTATAATGATGCTATCGTAAAAACAAAATTATCCTTGCATACCAAGACTACATTCAGAGGATTTTAAAACGTCATTCAACTGCTTTGGTGCGTTAAGATTGGAATAGTCTTCTATTGGAATAAATATCATGCATTTTTCACTTCATTAAAAAACCCGCTAAAACCAAACTTAGATGAATAATTTCATACAAAAAGTATAATGCAAAATAAAACCTACACATATATCAATATTCAGAGATTGTGAAAAGTTGATTTTATGAGAAAGTTGAAAGAGATTGACGAACTAAGCTTTTATTTTATGTTTTAGCCGAAGTTGAACATTTTTAATGTTCTACATATGTTTCGGAACACTTTAAGTATGAATTTTAATGTTTTAACCTCAAGTACCATTGATGAGTATTAAGTTAACTATGGTGTAGTGAAATGTTTACTATTTTTGCTTTTTGTATCGTCAAAATGAATTTTTAAATGGTTGCCTCATTACTCCGTATTTATAGTGATTATTATACACACATTCTTGATTTCTTGATATGTCCATTACAAGTAATAGTTTAGTTTATAAACTTATGTACAGATTGTTACAATCGACCTATTATTAAATTGATACAAGATAATTATGCAAAGGTATTGTACATGAACTCTTTTTTCAAAACGTTCGTAAATGGGCGTCATATGTAAGATTAGCATATGCTATATATGTCATTTTCACTATTAAATATGAATAACTTCTGACATCTGAATAGCAACGAATTGTGTATCATTTTGTTGACAGCATTACAAAAGACTTCGGAATAGACCAAAAATAGCAAGATGCATCTTTTATTTTACTTTCAAAGTTTGCCCAGAATATGTCCGGCATACAATTTTGAAGCAACAGTGTCAATTAAAAAAATATACAGGTTAAAAACGTATGCATTTTCAATAAGATATCAGGTTCAATCATTTATCTATTATCAAGTATATAAGATTTGTTATTACAAAATGTAATCAAAATCGATTATGTCAGTTTTGGTGAAAAACGTATATTTCCTTACCTTGACAAACAATTGATGACGCTTTGGTTGTTGTGCCCTACACAAAGTGCACTTTTTTGACAAAATGAAAATATTTGCATGGCTTTGAGCTCTTAAAAAAACTAAATATTTTTTGTTATAAAAATAACTTTCTATGTAAACAACTCCCAATGTTTATGGTTTTAAGGCAGGCCTTATAAAGCTGCAGCATTATTATAACAAATGACGGAACTAAATAACCAACCTATTTTTAGTGGAGAGGTATTGCATCAATCATCAAAACAAGATGGAAGCTCCAGTTGTCTACCACATTTGTGATGGTAAGACATCCTCATCTGTATGTTTAGAATGTAATATCAGTATACACGCACGTACTTGTATCAAAATGTCTTACTAAAAACAGTCCAATATATGGTGCTGAACAGCCCGATTCGTTAACCGACCATCAAAGTTGAGCATATGGAAAGAGCTCCAAGAACTTTCAACAGTAAAACGACCTGCATTGTTTTAGGTAAATGTCGACACAAACAGAAGATGGAGGTAAAATGGCGCTTATTGCTTTCCAGTTTGAATATCTGTTTGATGTACAGGACGCATGTAATCAGTGTGATTTTTAAATTCCATATATGTACGGAAAGTTAGTATGCTGCTACCAAGGAAGCATCGTCCCATTTGTCACAAAGTTTAATGGTTAGATAGGAAGGCTTTTGTCATACATTAGGTGAATGCCAAACAATTCTCCAGTTAACCATCATAAGTAGAAAAGGAAATACTTCAATCAATGAATTAAAAATGTATAGGATCGCACAAGTGTCTGAGGTACAAAATCAGCTCCAGAAGCTTCATTGAAAAAGCGTTATACAATTACTGGCCTTCTACTGCCCATTGGAGTGTTAACGGACAGTTGAAATGTTATTCCGCCAATTTCAACATGGAGGTTGCTGACCAGCAGGCAGCATTATAGAGTCTTTATCGGTTCTCAACAGCACAACGATGAGTACCACAATAATAATCTTCTACGAGAATTCGTATCGGAGAAACATCACACAGAAGTTTTATTTGGAAACATATCGATGTATTCTATATGGTACCATCATCAGTATTACGTCCATAATCAATAGACAGAAAAGAGGATAAGGAGATCCGTACATAAACACCACACAATGGTGGACACCATATATCATTCATAACCGTTGCCAATCTCTGTCCAAGACGGGGGATCAAGGATGATTTCCATTATAAGGCTAGTACTTTCATGAACTGAGTTTTCCACCATGTTGGAGGTCAACGTTTGAGAGGATTACTGTCCAACAATGGTCTAAATCAATTGTGCACACATGACGCATGAGTCCACGGATAGGTTTTTATGTATTTGTATGTATTTTTATTATGGATTTCTTGAAATGCATTTAACCAGGTCCAGTATCCTGATATGGTAGAAACCTCTTTTCAACTAATTAGTCAAACTGTTTCTATAGAAAAAATAGAAACGGAGAGTAAATCCGACTTGATGGAGGAGGGATTGCTACAAATAGGATTATATATCGTTTCCATGGTTTAGGAATCTCCTCGGTTGGTCGTCGGGCGACACAAGACATTACAGTACTAAAACAAGAGGGAAGACCAGTGGTATACTTTATAAACTAACCTCCAAGATCTGATTGTCCTTGGATGGTATATAACGGTACTAGAAGATGATGCGGTTAATTACATTAGCTTATATCTTACTTATGCTGATGGAAAATCAGTGTAGTCACTTCTCACAGGTTTCATTGCAAAAACACAAGTTTGTTGACTTGAACTTTATTTTAAAAAGAATCTTAATACAAGGACTAAGCCAGAAAATGAACATTTGATCAGTTTTCACCGACATATAATTGTACCCTACCCAGTAATGGATCTTACCTCCATGTTGAATAGCATTGCTATGCAAAGCGTTTGGCAGCAGTGTTAACCTCTATACGTGATCTCCTAAATTATGTGTCACCAGACAAATTAGTGTTCTTTTTACTATGATATTAATAATCCACGTTTATAAAACTTAATGCTGTGGAATCACAATGATAGAGCGGCGTGTATATTTTATACATCCGGACATTTTACGATCATATTCACACATAGAATCCCATTTTCGTTATAAGTGATTCAATTTTGTTTTATAATATTTGGATTTGTTTAGCTAGATTAAAATATGAAATAATTAAATTTTAATCGTAGCAATGGATCGTTTTATAAACGATAAGAAGAAAGAGGTTTTGTCTGATGTCGTGCAAATTCAAATGTTCTTTTTTTTCAAAACACTAAATGCATTATGTTTGTGAATATCATTGTGAAATAATTTATTGAAATAATCCTGTGTATGTATTATAATATTTCAAAACTACCCATCATACCATGGCTTGTGGTTAAGGACTGGATTATCTGGCGATTACAGTGTAATCACGTCCCGGATTAAACCACACGACACTGGTGTTCGGTAATATAATCGTTATAATTCCACTACAATGGCTTATCCAGCAAACCTATTATAAACTGTACACGTGGTTCAACTGTACAAAACAAGGCTCTCCCTTAACGTATGTCTGCTGATTGTATAGAGGTGGTTAAAATCTCCCTTAACGTATGTCTGCTGATTGTATAGAGGTGGTTAAAATCTCCCTTAACGTATGTCTGCTGATTGTATAGAGGTGGTTAAAATCTCCCTTAACGTATGTCTGCTGATTGTATAGAGGTGGTTAAAATCTCCCTTAACGTATGTCTGCTGATTGTATAGAGGTGGTTAAAATCTCCCTTAACGTATGTCTGCTGATTGTATAGAGGTGGTTAAAATCTCCCTTAACGTATGTCTGCTGATTGTATAGAGGTGGTTAAAATCTCCCTTAACGTATGTCTGCTGATTGTATAGAGGTGGTTAAAATCTCCCTTAACGTATGTCTGCTGATTGTATAGAGGTGGTTAAAATCTCCCTTAACGTATGTCTGCTGATTGTATAGAGGTGGTTAAAATCAAACATTGAGTTGGTACTCCCCCCTCCCCCTATTACAACCTATTTTGCAAAACATTTTATTCAGAGATATTTCAATCACAACCAATTCTGTTAAACGTGAAAGGATTGTAGTTTTATACACGACAGATTGATTTTAATGCGCCGTAGCCTGTTCTGCAGTACGATTGTATTTACACCCCGACAAACACATCAGAACTAGCTCTAAACGACATGTATAGAGCTATCACCTGTGGTCTATTAATTATAAACTTATCTGATTGATTAGTTGTTCCTTAGGTCTCGAATCCCCTTTGTCGGTGTCTGCCACACCGTAACGTTCCATATTTCATCTATACTAGTTTCCTAAGATGTCAATACACGTTTAATCTAACCGGTAACATATCTAATGGTTCCTCGGCTAACAATTTTAAACTACAACAGGTAATGTACAAAACTAGATGAGCAAATACTGAGCCCCCCCCCCCCCCGATAAACGATCGTTTTCAGTTTAATTTTCATTTGAATATTGAATTAAATTGACAGGAAATATACATTTTCAAACGAGATAATACCATACCTCTTGTTTCATGGTTAAAGTTGTCCCGTTGGCAGTCTTTCTAAAACTAATTCCGAGACATTCCGTCCATCAGTGAAATGTAGCACACCTTTCCTCTCCAACAAATTTAATGTATCATTGAAGTGTCGATATCAGTGTAATACAGTATTGATACACACGTGGCCCAAATCAAACACGTCTTAATGCCTGAAACCATGATCCATTGTCGTCAGGTATTTGTGAAACAATCTCACCAGCTGTTATAAACAAGATATATTCACAATTATGGGAAATCCATAAGTCCTGCCATAGAACTAAAGTTTTCGTGTATAACTAGTCTTTTGGTCATCTATAAACAACCACACCTCTGGACACTGACTAGAGGGGAAACGTCCACGGTTGTTATGGCCTGGTATAGCACCGGTTGCCACTGTCGTATGACAGATAGGATTACTATTGATGTCAATTACACCCCATACACAATCGATTCAATGGTATAACACCCAGGGTAAGGTACAATGCTCAATTCCTCCCAAAATAGTCTCCTCTGGAGTGCTCCGAACTGATCCGAGGTCCTAACGGCTATATCCGAAAGCTGTGACTTCACTCCGGTTAAGTTGGAGGGTAACGAGTTAGGGATTAGTCGTGTTCTCCAAACCTTGTCAAACAAACAGGGATATAATCTGTACTCGGCTGTGATAAAGGGAAATTTAAACGGCGGTTTGTATAACGGAGGACCTGGATCAATCGTAGTGTTGTGTCGGGTTAGATACAGCATGGACAATCGCCTGTAGCCACAAGATGTTATGTCGCATGCTCGTTACTAGTGAAGGTGTACAATACCCTCAGACCATACCAACAGATCAACGCTACGATTATTTATAAATAGGCTGAATATCAGAATTGGAAGACATACTTCATAATTCAGCTGTAGATGTCTACCATAAACAACAGAGAACAAATATGAAGGGCTCCGTCTGTTAGACACGTCAATTTGTCATAGAATAGGAACTCAGAGGTCGTTGTGCAGTCACAAAGTAACAGTGTGGCTACTTTATGTAGCAAATAAAAATACCTAGATACCCTTAGATCGATAGATCCGTGTTTCATTTCTAAAAGAATAGATACATTCCCTTACAGCATTTATTTTTCTATGACGTCAACAAGTGCTACCGAGGTTCATGGAAGTATAAACGTGATATTATTGACTGTGTTGCACTGTCCTCTCATTAGCACTGTGCCAAGCGGTAAGAGTATATAGAAATTAACAAAACACGTCGAGAACGGATACTGGGGTGCTTTACAACCTCACCAATCTCGTCGTTTATAACAAAGGCAACTATTGGAAGGACACTAAATGTTAGCGAACATCTATCGCCACGCAGCATATCGACTACTTGTTTCTGTATAAAAATAAATAAATAAGAAAACGTTAATAGTTCGTGTGATGGTAAATACATAACAAAGAAAAAAAAACCCACAAAGATTCGAGTAGCTTCCTGGCTCTTTCACCCCTTCAGAGGGTTGTGCCAAGGCGATTGCTTCTTTTGTAAACAATTATGTTAACAGGTAAAAATGAAGTCACTTAAAAAATGTACATTATGGCGCCAAAATAAACAGTGCACTTTGATGTCAAAACTTTGGGAGCAACCTCTGAATACTTTACGATGTTGTTTAATGGATTACGTATAATTTTCATCGACAAAAATATCAATGCAAAGCTATAGTTTGAATAATGCACAACCGACCTAAAACGAGACATCATTATTGGCGTATTTTTCTGATTTTATCTGATATTAAATCAGAGAAGTGCTATGACCTTAGAAAGATAAAATACACGTATTTTTAGAATTCGTAAAAGGGTCATTGCCATGTACCAATTAAGTATTTTAAAAGTAATAAACATTGTACTTTTAGTTTATTTAACACAGCTGATATTATTTAAATCTGTTATTAAAACTCCAAATATCTATCGATCGGATACCTTAGAAATGTACTCATTGCTATTCAGCTTTAAATAGCTGTCTCCGTTTGAAATGTGTTTTCTATTTTTTTGTGAAGACCATTTCAAAGTTTGTTTGCATATATAATCAGCATTTAAACTTTGACACAAGTTATATTTTTCAATAATTTATTAGTAAGAACTATCAAAACTGCCATTACAGGATGTTAATTGTAATGATGTTATAGACATGCGACTTTACGGATGGTCAGTCATTAGACCCGTTATGGCAGTTCAGCTTGTATCCACATCTCTTGGACTCATGTCTTTATCTTTATTTTTTTCGAGGGACGTTGTCTTTAATTGACATATTGGGGATTTTATAAGACAAACTGCAGCGATATTCATATGATATCAAATGGAATGGTACAGACAATTACATTGACGTGTTAAATGTTAGTTGTTCTGGTATCATGCGATTTATGTCATATGACACGATCTATTTGCAGGTGAAATCATATGCGTATTACCTTATTGATTAGTGATGACGTCATAGTGACATTATACAACTCTTCACCATGGTGCCACCACACACTGCATCAGCAAGTATAAAAGATGTCATTCTTCCCAATACAATCACAAACATATATACGTACAGCATCATTTTCAATTCAAGAGAACTGTTTGAAAACAGTCCTTTTCCTGTATTAAACATTTGACCATTTTGATAGACAAGGAAGTCAGACGCAACTAAAGTAGATTATGCAACTAACAAATGTAGACAAAGTAACAAACGGGTATAGACCTGGTAACTACAACTGCTAACTGGGTAACTAACGGGTGTAGACAAGGTAACTAACGGGTGTAGACGGGGTACTAACGAGTGTAAACAAAGTATCTAACGAGTGAAGACAATGTAACTAACGGGTGTAAACGGGGTAACTAACGATGGTACACTGGGTAACTAACGATGGTACAATGGGCTACTAACGAATGTACACTGGGTAACTAACGAGTGTACACTTGGTAACTAACGAACGTACACTAGGTAACTAACAAATGTAGACAATGTATCTAACGAGTGAAGGCAAGGTATCTAACGAGTGTAGACGGGGTAACTAACGAGTGTTAACAATGTAACTAATGGGTGTAGGTGGGTTAACTAACGAGTGTAGACTAGTTATCTAACAAGTGTAGACAAGGTAACTAACGAGTGTAGAATAGTCATCTAACGAGTGTAGACGAGGTAACTAACGAGTGTAGACGGGGTAACTAACAAGTGTAGCCAAGGTAACGAACGGGTATAGACTTGGTAACTACAACTGCTAACTGGGTAACTTACGAGTGTAGACAAGGTAACTAACGAGTGTAGACAAGGTAACGAACGGGTATAGACTTGGTAACTACAACTGCTAACTGGGTAACTTACGAGTGTAGACAAGGTAACTAACGAGTGTAGACAAGGTAACGAACGGGTATAGACTTGGTAACTAACAATTGTAGACAAGGTAACGAACGGGTATAAACTTTGTAACTACAACTGCTAACTGGATAACTAACGAGTGTAGACGGGGTAACTTACGAGTGTAGACAAGGTAACTAACGAGTGTAGACAAGGTAACTAACAAGTGTAGACAATGTAATTAACGAGTGTAGACGGGGTAACTAACGAGTGTTAACAATGTAACGAATGGGCGTATATTGGGTAACTAACGAGCGTAGACGGGTAACTAATGAGTGTAGAATAATTATCTAACTAGTGCAGACAAGGTAACTAACGAGTGTAGACGGGGTAACTAACGAGTGTAGACAAGGTAATGAACGGGTATAGAATTGGTAACTACAACTGCTAACTGGGTAACTAACGAGTGTAGACAAGGATTACTAACGAATGAAGACAAGGTATCTAACGAGTGTAGACAAGGTAACTTACGAGTGTAGACGGGGTAACTAGCGAGTGTAGACAAGGTAACTAACGAGTGTACACTTGGTAACTAACGGACGTACACTGGGTAACTAACAAATGTAGACAATGTATCTAACGAGTGAAGACGGGGTAACTAACGAGTGTAGACAAGGTAATGAGCGGGTATAGAATTGGTAACTACAACTGCTAACTGGGTAACTAACGAGTGTAGACAAGGTAACTTACGAATGATGAAAAGGTAACTAACGAGTGTAGACAAATTAATTAACGAGTGTAGACTGGGTAACTAACGATTGTAGACAAGGTAATGAACGGGTATAGAATTGGTAACTACAACTGCTAACTGGGTAACTAACGAGTGTAGACAAGGTAACTAACGAATGAAGACAAGGTAGCTAACGAGTGTAGACAATGTAACTTACGAGTGAAGACAACGTAAGTAATGCGTGTAGAAAAGGTATCTAACGAGTGTACACTTGGTAACTAACGGACGTGTACTTGGTAACTAACAAATGTAGACAATGTATCTAACAAGTGAAGACGGGGTAACTAACAAGTGTAGACAAGGTAATGAACGGGTATAGAATTGGTAACTTCAACTGCTAATTGGGTAACTAACGAGTGTAGACAAGGTAACTAACGAATGAAGAAAAGGTAACTAACGAGTGTAGACAAGGTATCTAACCAGTGTACACTGGGTAACTAACGAGTATAGGCAAGTTAATTAACGAGTGTAGACTGGGTAACTAACGAGTGTAGACAAGGTAATGAACGGGTATAGAATTGGTACCTACAACTGCTAACTGGGTAACTAACGAGTGTAGACAAGGTAACAAACGAATGAAGACAAGGTAACTAACGAGTGTAGACAAGGTATCTAACGAGTGTAGACAAGGTAACTAACGAGTGTAGACGGAGTAACTAACGAGTGTAGACAAGGTAACTTACGAGTGAAGACAACGTAACTAATGCGTGTAGACAAGGTAACTAACGAGTGTACACTTGATAACTAACGGACGTACACTTGGTAACTAACAAATGTAGACAATGTATCTAACGAGTGGAGACGGGGTAACTAACGAGTGTAGACAAGGTAATGAGCGGGTATAGAATTGGTAACTTCAACTGCTAACTGGGCTACTAACGAGTGTAGACAAGGTAACTTACGAATGAAGAAAATGTAACTAACGAGTGTAGACAAGGTATCTTACCAGTGTACACTGGGTAGCTAACGAGTGAAGACAAGTTAATTAACGAGTGTAGACTGGGTAACTAACGAGTGTAGACAAGGTAACTTACGAATGAAGAAAAGGTAACTGACGAATGTAGACAAGGAAATGAACGGGTATACAATTGGTAACTTCAACTGCTAACTGAGTAACAAACGAATGTAGACAAGGTAACTAACGAATGAAGAAAAGGTAACTAACGAGTGTAGACAAGGTATCTAACCAGTGTACACTGGGTAACTAACGAGTGTAGGCAAGTTAATTAACGAGTGTAGACTGGGTAACTAACGAGTGTAGACAAGGTAACTTACGATTGAAGAAAAGGTAACTAACGAGTGTAGACAAGGTATCTAACCAGTGTACACTGGGTAACTAACGAGTGTAGACAAGTTAATTAACGAGTGTAGACTGGGTAACTAACGAGTGTAGACAAGGTAACTTACGAATGAAGAAAATGTAACTAACGAATATAGACAAGGAAATGAACGG